ATAGACGCTATTAGGAAAGTGCTCTTCCTTGCCATTTTAAATGCAAATATAGGCTCTCCAGATTATCAGAGGTAGTTTCCCTTGATGCTCATATTCACCTTCAACAAAACAATTCTTAGATACATGGCAAAAATAAAAAAGACCATTATCAATGGCAGAACTGTTTAACTTAACTGGATAATAGTCTGCATTTTGTAGTTGTCATTGGTCAGTCACTCACTAGTCTTTTACTGTCTTTTGAGGCAATTAGAAAAAGAACTTAAATTTCAAGACCATTGGATATATCATTAAAGATTTTACATATTTAATGTAATGATTATATATGTACATTTGAGCAGTAATCTTCATTAGTTTTGAGTTGTATTACATCGCATTAATTTTTAACCTTACTGTAGGAAAAATTTCTCAGTTAAAACTTGTCTTTTTATTTTTTCCCTGTCTCTGGGGTTCTTTTTTGATGTGCATAGAGATTTGCTTCTTAGAAGGACACATTCATCTATTTTATTCTTCCCTGGTCATAGATTTTTAATTATGCTTGGAAATCTGTTCATGCTTTGTATTAGGGCTCTTAGAGTTGTTCTTAGCTTTTCTTTGATGAATTTTATAGTCTTTGGTTTTACTCCTAGATCCCTGATCCACTTTGAGTTGGGTTTTGTGTATGGTGTGAGGTATGGGTCTTGCTACGTTTTCTGCAGATGATTTTCTAATTTTGCCAACACCATGTGTTAAAGGGGTTGTTGTTTCCCCCTAAACTTGTTTTATATCCTTGTCAAAAATCAGTTGATCATAGGTCGATGAGCTAATTTTTGGATTCTCAGTTCTATTCCACTGATCTTTGTGTCTGTCATTGTACCAGTACCATGCTGTCTTGACCACCATGGCTATGTCATAGGATTTGAGATCAGGGAGTATGAGGTCTCCTACCTTATTTCTCTTCAATATTGCTTTGCTTATTTGGGGTCTCTTTATATTCCAGATAAAATTGGAAATTGGCTTTTCCATCTCGTTGAAGAATGGAATTGGTGTTTGTATCGGGATTGCTTTGAATTTCTAGTTTGCCTTTGGTAGAATTGTCATTTTCACAATACTGAATCTCCTTGTCTATAAGCATGGTATATTTTTTTGTTTCTCCAGGTCTCCCTTTATTTCTTGTGGTAATGTTTTGTAATTTCTTTGTCTAAATCTTTTTGAAAGGACATACCTGATAAGGGAATTAGATCTAAAATTTATAGACTATTCCAGCACTTCAACAAAGAAAAGTAGACAATCCAATAGCAAAATGGGCACAAAATATGAATAGACACTTCACTGAAGAAGACATTCAGATGGCAAACAAAACACATGAAGAATTGTTCAAAATTACTAGCTCTCAGAGAGATGCAAATCAAAACAACTATAAGAGATCATAGTTCATCAAGGGAGCAAACAACAAATGCTGGTGAGATTGTGGAGAGATTGAACTCTTATTGACTGCTGATGGGAATGTAAAATGTTGTAACCACTGTGGAAGTTTGTCTGGCACTTTCTAAAAAAGCTGGAAATAAAAATACCATTTAACTCAGTGATTCCACTACTGGGAACATAGCCTAAAGAAACCAAAGTCAAAACTTAAAACAGAGTGCAACAATGAATGAATGAAAATCCCAAATCTCTGTAAATGTTCACTAAAACTAATAAAATTTAATAATAATTTAAAACAAACAAACAAGCAAACAAAAAAACCTTAAAACAGATGTTTGTACATTCATGTTTGTTTCTGCGTAATTAGTAATAGCAAAGAGATGGAAGCAACCCAAGTGCCCATCAACAAATGAATGGATAGAAAAAATATGATACATTTACACAATGGAATATTATGCAGCTTTATAACACAATAAACTTGTAAAACGTTGTACAACACAGACAAGTCTAGAGGATATTATTCTGTGTGAAATACCTCAGTCATAAAAGGCCAAATACTTCATAACAACATTGTTATAAAATAGTACTGCCATGAGAGGTTAGAAGAAGAATAGGAAAGGAGTGGATAGATAATGGACACTGCATTGGAACAGATGATGCAAAGAACAGTCTGAAAGGAATATATGATTTGGTATTATATGTATGACAGCAATCTAGAACATGAGGTGCATTGCAAAGTGAACTGGGGAGGAAAGGAAAGGGTGAAAAATATCTAACAATGAATAGGGATGGGGGAAGAGCTACAGGCTTCCTAGGTGATGGAGCAAGAAACCTGGGTGCCTTTGGTCAAGAAGTTTGCTCTTGGAGTGGGGTGCTTCTGAGCATTTGTGCGGGAACTAAGTTTGCCAGTATATGGATGTAGAGTTCAGCACCTTTGGACCTAGACTTGCCAGTGGAGTGAGGTGGTTTATGGAAGGCATTTGCACTGGCAGAACTATAAGAACTTTATAACACGTGTCTGAGGAGGGCAGAATCCAAGGCGTCAAGGCCTTGTCTTCAGATATGATCCTGATCTGAATAGTTCTTGAACCTGAATTGGAACATGTTACTTCCCTAATACATTCTGTATCTGTGAAAAAACAAAACAAACTTATCTTTTTAACCATCTGTCTTAGCCACTTTAATAAAGGAACAAATGGCTATAAAGTAGTATTTATGTCAGAAGAATCTCACATCTTTTCCTTATGTTGCATTTGAGTGCCCACCAGACTGGGCTTAAATGGGACATATTGTTTGCTGTCAAGTTGGAACCAACTCATAGCTGACTCTCCAGCAGGTTTCATCCATATTGTACACTGAATGTTAGTGATAATTGAGTTCTTCCATTTTTTTGCCTCCTAACTTTATATTATCACAGCATATAGCTTGTGAGTGCCCATAATCCTATCATCTTAAAAAAGGAATGACATACCTAGTAATTTAAGGGGATAATTTCTAGTTAGTCATATGTAATAGCCTTTGCCTTTGGAGGCATTGAAAGATTTTAGTGATGGAGCTGGCCAGGTAATTTGATGCCTGATGCCACATGATGCCCTTGGATATGTCCACATATATTATAGTGAGTGTAAAATGTTGCTGTGGCATTAAGAACTCTAAATTAATTTTAGGAAGTGTCTGCCTGTTTCAGCTTTTAAACTGTCATCTATACTTGGATGTCTGCCATCACCTCAGTTGCCACATATCCAAAATTGAATTAATCATCATCTTCATCAGACATCTCCCTAATGCCAAAGAATCAAAACAAAACAAAATACCAAAACCAAACAAAAATGTAAAAATACAACAAAACCTAGTCACGTCTGTTAATTCTAGCATTCGGAGTATCCTTACCTTAATCCCTGACGTAGGAAACTAGAGCTTTTCCTAGGACTGTACCCATTAGCCCCTCCTGCTATTTGCTTTAACCCCATAAACTACTAACATCTAGTGTTTGCTGACCTTAGCATGTGATAAGATTCTTAGTATTCAGGGAAACCAGGGCTAAGGGCAGAACAGCTTAAATTGAGCAGGTTTCCGAAACCTGTCCTGAAGCTCCCACATGACCAAGAGTTATCTAATCCTTGCCAAAAGTTGTGTGCTAAACTGAGATTCAGATTTAAAGATGTAATCCATTGTGGATGCATTCAAGCACCATAATCCTTCCCATATAGGGCAGCTTCTGAAACTTTACCTTTTTCCATAAATATGATGTCCTTATCCCAATATCAGGCTAGTTCCTAAGACCCCACCTCATTCCATGAATAAAAATTATGTCTGCTTTCCATCCTCAGAATTTGAAAATATCCTGCTTTCTCCTTTCTTCCCTATTTCTTTTCATTTGTGTGCTGCTATCTCAAATAAATTCTTTACTTGCAAGAAATATTTTGGTCTCTTATTTTATAATTCTTTTTTTTTTTAATCCATGGAAGTATTTATTTAACATTTTGAACGTATATATCCTAAAGGAGAGAAACACAACTAGAAAACAGATTTTATTTTAAAAGAGACTTTTGACCATCATTTTTTTTTTAAAAGTAGGGATTCAAACCTATTAAACAGAAGAGCACATGAAAACATGCAAAACATAATTAATCCTCTTTCTGAAGTAGTCTTCAAACACCTACGAATTCTCCTTCAGAAATAGCAGTATTGAAATTGTGCAAAAGGAAAAAAAAAAACACAAACCCACACACCAACCCTATAGTGTTTAAACTATAAAACCAAACCCTGGTTTAAAAAAAAACAAACACAAAAAACACAAACAACATCCAACAAAAACACCCAGTTGCTGTTGAGTCAACTTTGACTCATCTCAACCCCATGAGATCCAAGTAAAACTGGGCTCCTTAGGATTTTCAAGATCTGATTTGTAGGGAATAGATTGCCAGCCCTTTCTTCCAAAGCACGTCTGGATAGATTTGAGCCTCCAACCGTTAGGATGGCTTCTGAGCACATTAACCGTTTATACCAGACCAGGGACTCCAGTACTGGATTCTGACATAACAAAAATAAAATGCACTAAAATAATATGGAGTTGTTGGAATTACAAGAAAACCAGGAGAGTTGAAGATCAAGGTGACTTCAGAGTGAAAAAGAAAAGCCACTGGGGACTGGAGACGTTTTTTCACAGCAGGAAGCACTCTTGTCGACCACCATGAGCCTCACTATAACCAGAGTCTCTGCTCACTTGGCAGTCACTGATAGGAAGGATAAAGTGCTATATCTCTGATGGCAAGCAAATTAGCCAACACTCTTAAAGTTTCCCACATTCGAGCCAAAGTAGTTTTCTGTGAAGAATGTTCTCCTTGAGAGTATGGCCAATATGTGATTGAGCCAGGACTGGACCTGAAAAGTGAATCTGCCTCTCTTTGATCTAGTCTCTAAAGGAGTCTCTCAAGTACATATTGAAGTGAGGGGTCCTCAGGTACTTCGGATCGCCGTGGTTGTGGAAAATCAGTAGCTGTCATGGAAGTCTAGGAGCCATTGCAACTTGTGACTGAGCCTTGGGGAAGATAAAGACGAGGAAGACCTCAGGCTGGAAGGTGCTGACACAGACGTACCCCTCTTTAGACTGAGCTCCCTGCGAGAAGAGAATATTCTCATCCATGTCGGTCTCTGTGGTGGTCTACTTGGATCACATCATGGTTTGTGAGCTGGCTGCTCTGGGGGTGACTGTGCTTTGGGTCCTGATGCAGAGTGCTAATCCTGGTCTGTGTCACCATGTCACGCACATTCACCACTGGCTTCTCTTCTGGCTCCGTCTGGGAGGTTATATCAGCTGTCCTCTGCTCTCCAATATAGGAAAAGCTGATGACAGTTCGGGCTATTACAGGAAATATCTACTCTGCAAGGTCAGGTACGAAGATTGTTGGGAAAGTTCATGAAAAGTTCACATTGATTGATGACATTTGAGTGGCAACAGGGTCTTACAGTTTTACATGGACAGATGGCAAATTAAATAGCAGTAACTTGGTAATCCTGTTGGGCCAAGTGGTTGAACACTGTGATCTGGAGTCCTGTATCTTGTATACACAGTCAAAGCCCATCAACCCTAAACCCCTGTCCAACTTCTGGATCAGTGGCAAGTTTGACCATGTGGTTGACTGAAAACCACCATCCAAGGAATTCATACTGGGAAACCTGCTGAGGCTGTGGCTGGCCAAACTCTCCAGTAACCCCAAGAAACCTGACCTGGAACCAGCGGTTCCCCCGCAGGGCAGGCACAAGTACTCGGTGTCCTCCACCATCGGTGAGGAAGACTACCTACACAGCCACAAGGATGAACAGGAGAGCAGAAGGACAGCTGATGTCATTTTCTCATTCTTGCCGATGAGAGAAAGAAGCAGCAATTCAGAGAAGGAACCCTAGCCTTTAGATAAGAATTTTAGAATTAAACTTTCTTTTATTTTTAAATGTGTCTTGTTTTATTATTATTATTATTGGTTTTTATGTTGGCACATCTTTGTATTTTTATTTTCATTTTTTCTCCCTGGGAATGGAAGCCCTATGTCTGCAAAGCCCCCCATTTTCCCATACTTTGCCTATTTTTAAGTTACATTGTTTAGTGCTATGGTTCTACTAATAAATACGATTCCCTCAAAATATTTGCTTTCTTTGTTCACCACTTCAAATTTAAACTCCTCTGCATGTGTTTTGCTTGTTTGCCTGTTTGTGGTATACAGGAGACTTACAAGGCTTAAGTATTTCAAATAGAAAAGAGTTTTTACTCTCTTATAAATGAAGAATCCAGGTTGTAGTGAGACTTTGAACAAAGATGAGGAGAAAAAGAATGGAATTAATATGACCAAAGATAAAAAGGAGATGTAGTACTAGGCCTGCAAGGCTTATTGCCTGAGGAGAGTTAGGAAGGAGATACATGGAGAAAACCTGAAGAGCAGAGAGGCGTCTACAGCAGAGGGGACTTGTGGTTTCTTTTGTGGAAAATTTGGAAAGGACTTTGGAGTTGCAGAATGTGAGCCTGGGGAACAGGGAACTGAGGCAAGGGGGTAGAGTTTAAATCTGTGGAGGTGACATGATTGAGGCTGCTGAGGTGAGGCAAGGCTGTGTAGGAAAGGCTGAGTGCTAGTTATTATAGACCAGACCTCAGGAAGGAAGTGTAGACTGTGGGCTTTATAGAAGGAAGAACTTATGGGCATGGCTTTTGGGGATCATTACTTCAAAGTGCTCAAGAGCAGCACTGTAAGTCTAGAGGCTAAGGTGTGCCTGATCCAGGCTATGGTCTTTGCAGTTACTTTCTATGTATCAGAAAGCTGGCCAATGACAAAGGATGACAGAAGAAGAAACGATGCCTTTGAGTTGTAGTTCTGGAGAAGGGTATTGAACATACCATGGACTCCCAAGACAACTAATAGGTCTGTCCTGGAGACAGTAAAACCCGTTTGCTCCTTAGGGGCAAGGATCTTGAAGATCCTTCTCACATACTTTGGACATGTTGCCAAGAGGGATCAGAAAAGTACTTCATGCTTGCAAGGATGGAGGGACAGGCAGCACTGGAAAGGAAGACTCTGGATGAGACGGAATGACACAGTAACTGGATAATGAAGGTAGATGTGTCAAAGACTGTGAAACTAGCTCAGGTTAGGGCAGGCTGCAGAGCTATTGTACTTAGGGTTGCTATGAGTCACAGGCGCCCAGTGGCGTATAACAGCAATAACCACCACCAAGACAGCACACTCACTGCAGAGAGTTAAAAAAGCAAACAGACACTCCCCTACCTCAAGTTGATTCCTACTGAGAATGATCCAGTAGGGCAGGTTGGAACCACCCCTTTATAGTTTCCGCAAAACTTTTCTGCCTCAAAATGCCTGATATATTTAAACTGATGACCTTTTAGTTAAGAGCTCACTAATTATATTCACTGTGCCACTAGGACTACTATGCAGACAGTAATGTTGTTAGTTGCTTTTGAGTATGACTCATAATGACCCTGTGAAAAACAGACCTAAATCCTGTTGCATTTTGTGCCATCCTTATAATCTCTAATGTAACCTGAGCCCATTGCTGCAGTCACCATGCCAGTCCAGCTCATTGGAGGTCACCTTCTCTTGTGCTGACCAAGCATGGTATCTTTTCCAAGAAATATTGTTTCCTAGCAACATGTCCCAAGTATGAGAGACAAAGCTCTACCATCCTTGCCTCTCAACAGGTGCTCTGGTTGCACCTGTTCTGAAAGAAATTTGTTTGTTCTTTTCACAGTCCGTAGGATATTCAGTACTCATCTCTGACACCACAACTCAAAGGCATCAATTTTTCTTCCATTCTTATTAATAGTTCAGCTTTCAGGTGCATAGCAAGTAATTGAAAAGAACATGGCTTGAATCAGGTGCACCTTAGTCTTTGAACTGACATTGCTTTTCATTGATTTGGGGTGGTTCCTGACTGTAGACTTACCCAAAGCAATATGGAAGTAAGATGGAATCACTGACAACTTCAATCCTTTCTCCATCTACGGTGATGATGTCTATTGGCCCTGTGGTAAAGGACCTTTGTTTTCTTAATGTTGAGATGTAATACATATTGAAGGCTGTAGTCTTCCGCAGCAAGCATTTCAGGTCTTCCTCCCTTTTAGCAAGCAAAGATGTACCATCTGCATAATGCAGGTTGTTGATGACTTTTCTTCTAGTCCTCATGTCACCCACATTCTTCTTCAGAGTCCAGCTTCATTAATTATTTGCTTAGCATACATATTGAATAGGCGTAGAGAAAGGATACAACCCTGACACATAATTTTCCTGATTTTAAACCACACAGTGTTCCCTTGTTCTGTGCACATAGGTCTTCACCTGTTTGCCTAAACAATATTTTTGTGCAAATAAAACACATGGTATTTGGTATTTCTAAACTATGCAGCCTCCTTGTATATTAGTTTTCTATGTACAATTGTATGTATATGCGTATTACTTTCATGGTTGTGTTATACATGAAAATCCACTGTGTTGTTTTTATGTGCTGTTGAGTTGCCTGCGACTCATAGTGATCCTATATACAACAGCCCTAAACCCTGCTCTATCCTGTGTCAATCTTAGTGACTCTTACACACCTACCCCCATTTCCCTAGTCACTGAATCAATTGAGAGTCTTCCTTTCCTCTGCTGTCCCTCTACCCTCCCAAGTATGACATCCCCCTCTAAGGACTGGTCCCTCCTTGCAACATGTCCAAAGTATGTCAGATAAAGCTTCAGAATCCTTGCCTCAAAGGAGCATCCTGGCTTCAACTTCTCCAGGACGAATCTGTTCTCTTAGCAGTCCATGGTATATTCAATACTTTTCTCCAGCACCACAGCTCAAAGACATCAATTTTCCTTCTATCATCTTTAGTCATTGCCCAGCTCTCTGATGCATAGCAAGTGATTGCAAAGACCATGGCCTGTATCAGGAGCATCTTAATCTCCAGACTGACACTGTTGCTCTTCAGTACTTTGGAGAGGTCTCTGACAGCAAACTTTCCCAACTCAGTGTGTCTTTTAATTTCCTGGCTGCTGGTGCCAAGAATGTTGATTGTGGAGCCAAGCAAACTAAAGCTGTGAATAATCTCAATCTCTTCACCATCCATCCTGATGCTGCCAATTGGTCTAGTGGTGAGAATCTTTTTTTTTTTTTTATATTGAGCTTCAATCCATATTTAAGGCTGCAGTCTTTGACCTTCTGCAGCAAGTGCTTCAGGTCTTCCTCAGTTTCAGCAAGCAGGGTTGTGAAATTCAGTATACCTAATGACTAATTATGTGGTAACTCAATTTTTACCTTTTCAGTTACCTGTTTCTCAAAGTAGTAGTGTTGTTGTTATGTATCTTTGAGTTGCCTGTGACTTATAGTGACCCTGTGCACAACAGCTCTGAATTCTGCTCTTTCCTGAGCCAATCTCATTGTCTCTGACACAGCTAACCTCATTAGTCCAGTTATTGTGTCAATCCGTCTCATCCAGAGCTCTCCTGTCCTGCTGCTATCTCTCTCTAAAGACTGGCTTCTACTGGCTGCATGCCCAAAGTATGTGAGATTGAGCTTCAGAATCTTTGCTTCCGCCTCTGGGTTCAACCAACCATCCCCACTGGACCCACCTGGGAAAACACTTTGTAGTCCAGAGGGGAGCAAATGACAGGAAAGTATCTTCTAACAGAGCAAGAAGGCAAGCAGCTGTAACCCAAGACCACCAGTAGGGTGATAAAGCGTCCTCCCTTCCCCCCTTTACATCTACGCTCCTGTTCAGCATGAAGAAGCCAGAGTCGGCATCCAATTCCCAAATCAATAAGACAGTTGGTTTAATTACTATTGGAAAATGCTTGTCATTCCTCTGT